GGGGGGGGGGGACTTTTTAGTTTTTTATGACTTATCTGTGATTAAAAAGTTCAAAGTGGGTGGTTGGCGGGTGCTCTGGTGTGGTTTGCTCCTTCTTTCCTATCAAACAACTATCGACTGATCTCTCCTTTTTTACGTTTGGTACTGTCTTGTAACACCTAATCTTTGGCACCATCCGGTGCAGTGCCACTGACTGTCTTTAGGCCATTCCCAAAGGGGGGACATTTCTCGTTCAAGTTCGGTAGAAAATGGGCTGATTCATGTCACGCTCATAACTGTGCCTGATCTACAACAGGGAACTGCTGCTTTTTTTTTTTTTTTTTTTTTCCCCTAATCCTTACTATTGTCATTTTCCTCTACTTCTTTTGTATGTTTGTCACTCTCTTGTGACCTGCTATTTCCGGGGTGCCTTGATAGTTGAAGCAGACCTTGTTCTGTTGAAGCTAGAGAGGTGGGCAGAGTGGGTCTGATTCCCTGTAAAGAGTTCTCTGTTGACACCCACCCCTTGGCGCTCCTATGACCTTATGCAGTTGCGAGTGCCTTAAAACCTTTAAAAATTCATCTTTGGCACTTACATGACCGTAATGTGTTGCAAGTGCCGTAAAACACCAAAACTAAAAGTTGAAAGTATGCTTGCTTGTCTTGTGATAGGTACAGTCCATGCCGGCTTTAATGAACGGTCGTCGTCGGGAGAAAGCTGAAGTTTAAGCGTGCTTGAGTGCGAAGTAGACATAATCCAGAGATTTTCATGTAGAAAATTGCCCGGACTATTTCCCTTTGTTTGTCAATAGGCCTATAGCGGTCCCACAAAAGTGCACTGTTCTTTAGACACCCGCCAAGGTAGTTTTGTTCACTTGTTTGTTTGTTTTTGTTTTGTGAGTGGTCGAATGGGAAATGAAAATTTAATTTAGACAACCAGTCACTACGATACAGCACACTAGGCCTACACACTGCCTGTGCGTACCACTGCCCACTGTGCCACTCATACCACCGCCTTCATCCCACCTCGCGCGTGATACACAATCAGGATTAATGGATAGCGAGGGTCAAAGGTGAAATCGCAGCCAGCCTCCCTTTCTCGTCTCCCAGACTCTCTTAGTATTTTTTGGGTCATGTGCAGCTTTGCCCTAGGCCTAGGCTAGATCCTATGTCCGCGCGCGCGGCTGTGTGCATCTGCCTTCCTCTGCGCCCGTGCGAGTGTGCGAGTCCATCACTTGCGTTCTTTGTGTTTCTCTTGACACACTCCACTGCTGCGGTGTATCTAGACTTCTGACTGTGTTCGAACTTCGGTGGGTCATCATGAAAATATTGGGGAGTGCTTATTTAGGCCATACTGGACTGATTCAATATTTTAAAAAAAATATATGCTAATCAATGAAAATTTCAAATTGATAATAGTATTAGGTAGCGTAAACGTAAACACGGCCTCGCGGCCTTCCGACCGGGTGGTATCGGTAAAATCGGGGTCATTCCGATCGCTGTTTCTTTGCTCTTTCACTATAAAACACCAAATGCCGTACACCTTGTAAAAGTTCAGCTTTTCCTCGTTGCAATGGTGTAAGTTGTTTGTATGTCCGACTAGTAGGAGCTGGAGAATCGCCGACGAAAGCGAAGCCCCTCGCCCCTCGCGCTCGGAATGCGAGGTCGGCCGGTTGAAAAATTGACACGGGTGCATTTAAATGCTTCGCGGAACGAGCGATGATTAAATACCGTCTTTTCATTGGCGGAGAACTGTAGCGCTTTAAACGGACTTTCCCGTGATATAAGTTTAGCCTTTGGCGTCTTTATAGAAAGCTTTTAAAAATACCGTCAAAATGTTTAAAGTATCCCTTTTTACACAAAATATGTAGCCTATAATACCGACTTATAACAGGTATCAATTAAAAGATCAGTTCATTTTCTATTAGAATAAAGTTATTAACTTGGAATTATTTTTCATCAATCCTTCCGCGAGGCTCAGAAAGCATGTGACCCCGCACGAGGGGTACACTACAGTATAGAGTAGTGGTGGGCAAATTTGCCGGAAATGAGTAACAGCAAATCCCAGTACCAAATCCAGTAGATACTCCCAAATCCCAGTACCAAACCCAAATCCTGGGACTCATCAGAGACACTAAAATATAGAGACAGGAAACGAGGCCTCTTTTAGCGTATCCAGGTCACCAGCTGATTGTGAAACGAGGCGCGGTAAACAAAGCTAATCGCGGCTGTCGGCAGTCGCAAGTCACCTGCAAGTGTAAGTGGTGTTTTGCGGCAGTCTGCGTCCGTGCCAATTCAAGATCGCATAAATACCAGACCTAGCATTATTTAGCTTTCCAAAGGACCCTGAAATGTAAGAATTTGCACATGTACTTTTTCATTAACCTTACTTAATATCGTTTTTCTCTTGTGTAGGCCTACCTAACTAATCTAGATCTAGAATCTAGATCTAGATCTAGACTATATCTAGATATAGATCTAGAATACCTCGACTCTAGACCTAGAATCCTAGAGATATAGATATCTAGATCTAGATTCTAGATATAGATATAGATATCTAGATCTCTAGATCTAAATTAGATAATAGATTGTAGATCTAGTATCAGTGTCCAGGTCAATTAGTACTAAATCTAGAGTCTAGGTCTAGAAATAAGGGCCTAATTAATGCAGTGGGTCTACTAGGACCAGATCTAGATCTAGATACTACTAGATAGATCTAGATCTATCCTTGGGCCTTATATTATCATAGCTATATAGACCTATTACATTTATAATGTTTGCCTCCACTACACTCCTTCCTCTGCTTCTTCACAGCACAGGCGACAGTGCAGTCGATTAGCCTAGTTCGTCACGTCATGCCAGTGCATGGGCAGGAGGATGAAACATTGCTAAACCTTACTAGATCTAGATCTATAGCTAGCGAATAAAACACGTTTGTCTGGGGGCTCTGATCGTGGTCTATAGAGTTTAGAGCCTGGGTTATAGTGTTTGCCTCTCATTCAATAGGTTTGAAACATGACTGGGATAGACATTTTTCTTCTCTGAAGTTTTCTCTTTTCACCGCCCAGCTCTAAGTTCT